CTTACCACGAGGTCACAAAAAATGACCTGGGGCACCGTAACTGTTAAAAATTTGAATCAGTTGCCAAGCATCTGAATTTGGATCACATGATCGTGGGGATGCTGCAAAGGTTACTATGAAAAACAGTCATCGTTCACATCTTTCAGCACCGTTGTAACTTTCAACAGTCACTAAATGAACTGTTGAAGTTGAGGACTACCTGTAGCAATCCTGCTATGAAATCACACTTCTTTTAAATTCTATAACAGGAGTGGAGACATAATTGTTGGTATCTGAACATTTTAGTGCCAAGTTTGCTGTAATCTTAAAAAAAAAGCGGATAAACACATTTATTAGATCAGGATATACAGTATCAAGGATGGCTTTAAAAGAGTCGAGAGGAAAGTTTGGGGAATGATTCTTTTTAAAAAATAATAATAATAAGCTTCTTATAATCTAAAATTAGAGTGTAGAGTTTGCTTGCTGACCTTTTAAAAAAAAAAGGATTGCCCTGTTATGCCACTCTGTTTCATTGCTCAATTTTTCTGTCTTCAAAAATCAAAGAAAACTAGATCGCCTAGAGAAGAGGAAGAAGAAGAAGAAGAAGAAAGACAAAAAGAAGAAAAAGCAGCAGAAGGGAAAAAGTAAAAGTAAACACAGAAAACATAAGAGCCGGGCCTCTTCCGCATCCTCCAGCGAATCTTCAGCAAGCAGCAGCGACAGTGATTCCAGCAGCAAAGGCACAAAAGCCCCTTGCAGAAAAATAGATTCTCGGGGAAAAAGGAGAAGCCGGTTTTCAGAGACGGACAGCAGTGATTCTGATGATGATAAGGGGAAGAAGGCAAAACTCTGCAAAGGTTCCTCCAGCAGCCGTGATAACAAGGACAAAGATAGAGAGAAGTCTCGGCTTTTAAAGGAAGATCCTCCTTGGGAGAACAACAAATGGGGCTCCGGTGAGAGCAGAAGGAACCCCACAGGCAAAAAGGAAAACTCAGAGGGGAGAAAAGAACCGGAGCAACACGGACACGCAAGCAGGAGCCACAGCAAGGGGGAGAGGAGCAGGCAGAGCTCTGATTCAAGGCAGCGGGCTTACTACAGTCGAAGTGAGGAAGGAGACAAGAGTAAAGAAGCAAAAAGCCACCGTTCAGAGGTAAGCAGAGAGCAAAGGAAGCGTAAAGAGAGCCACCCTGAGGAATACAGCCAGAGGGAGCACCGAGAAAGAAGCAAAGAGAGGAGAAAATAGAGAAAGTGGGTGGCGCATGCTTTCTTTCTTTCCTTCCTTCCTTCTCTCTCTCTCCCTCCCTCCTTTCTTTCTTTCTTTCTTTCTTTCTTTCTTTCCTTCCTTCCTTCCTTCCATCCTTCCTTCCTTCCTTCTCTCTCTCTCCCTCCTTCCTCCCTCCCTCTTTCTTTCTTTCTTCACCTCTTAGGAAGGGCTCCAGTTGTGCTCTTCTAGGTCCTATAAGCTCTCAGAAAAATCTCAGCCTCACACTTCAAACATTCTTGTATACTTACCTTGTATCTATCATGTAACAAACAAATAAACACAAACCAGTTTTTTCCATTGGAATCATTTAATTTGGAGGTGGAGGGGAGAGGAAAGAAAAGTTATTTGGTACATCTAGCTTTCTTTTGCCATTGATATTTGTGTGCAGTACTGGAGTTTCAACAATAGTGTGTTTGTTTCTTTAAATAATATATCTAGACAAGCCTTTCAAGAAACAAAAGGAGCCGTTCCAGAGACATGGAATTATTTTGTTTGGATTTAATGTGGTTTGGAATAAAATTCCTGTTAAGAGGCATGCAAACATGATTATTTTGATCTGAACTTTTAGTTTCTTTTTTTGAGGATGGTTGCCTAAGTTAAAGCAACAGAGCAGCCTTGTTCAACATAGGCCAATGTGCTTTGTCCTTGTGAAAGTAGATCTTCATCACAACCATCTAAATGTGTGGACTCCCATTGGTATCACAGTGTCAGTTATTTTGCAGCACTTGAGAAAAACATTGTTTGTGTTACAAATTTCTAAGTGTTATGCGCTACAGAAATGTAACATCAATTCCAGCCCTATCTTATTAAACAGCAGATTGTTATGGTTAAGATTTGAAGGATGTGGTAGACCTCATTAGTGGGACGCCGAGCAATTTTTCAGTCTTGCTATAGTTTAAATCTTCTTCATTAATGCTTGTTTTTCTGTAGAGTTTTGCATCACCATGCTGAGATTTTTGCATAAAAATGAAATGTGACTCACTTTACAAAGCTGAGCTTTGATGTATGTTACATCTTTAACTGTCATCATAAGTTTTATAATAAAACTTCTACAATTAAACTCTGTGGCCTTTGAATGCAAAGTAATAAAGTGGTGGTATGTTCACAGAATGAAAATACATTCTATGGGCTTATTATCAATAAAAATAAAATATAAACTAGATAGAGCTGTTTTCCCCTCTTACTTGAAAATTAAAATCCTTGACTTCCCTGTAAACATTGGAGCTATTGGTGAAATTGGACAGTTTTTATTTCTTGTATATAATGTTTCTGAATAATAAAATATACATCTAGTCTATCCCAGTAAGGATCTGTGACTTTAGTTTAAAATAATAATAGTAGAAGTTAATATCAAGAGAGGATCTTTCAATGAAACTCATTACTCTATCATCACTATTGTTTGTTACTGCATTGACTTCTTTGTCAACAATACTGAAGAAGTCAGGCTGTGGCTATCAAAAATCAAAAACATCTTCCAAACTGTTGCACCTTCTTTGCATAAACGATCTGAAGCTCTTTGGACAAACACCATCTGAAAAAAATCACTTCTCAACTTCCGTCATCTATACAGCCAAGATATTGCAAAGGAATTTGGATTGGAAAATGTTCCACCCTCACCACCTACAGGGCAGTGGTGAGATTCAAAAAAAAATTTGTGGGTGTGGCTTGATGGGCGTGGCATGGCGTGTGGGCGTGGCAGAGGAAGGATACTGTAAAATCCCCATTCTCTCCCGATCAGCTGGGACTCGGAAGGCAGACAATAGATGAGGGCGGGGCCAGTCAGAGGTGGTATTTACCGGTTCTCCGAACTACTAAAAATTTCTGCTATAGGTTCTCCAGAACTGGTCAGAACCTGCTGAATACCATCTCTGCTACAGGGGGGAAATAGTGAAAACTGAAGAAATCAAGATGCCCTATGGAAATAACATCAAGAGTCTGGACGAAGATCACTACAAATACCTGGACATTGTTCAAGCTGACAACATCAAGCACACTGAAGTCAAGAAGCAGCTTGATCTTAGTCCAAATTCAGTGGAGGAAATACCATCAAGGTAATTAACATCAAAATAACTCCAATCATTAGATACACAGTTGGAATGGTGGATTGGACTCAAACAGAACTAAAAGCCCTGGATAGGAAGACTGGAAAAATAATGACAATGAATCATGCCCTTCATCCACACAGCAATGTTGACAGACTAGTTAAAAAGGAAAGTAGATGGAGGTTGAATGTTGCACAAATACACCAGATAGTTGAAGACCAAAAAAAAGGGCATTGGAAGAATACCCGAAGGACTGAAGAAAATGCACTGAAGTTAGTATACTGTGAAGGCTTACTGACTATAGAGGAGATCAAATTGCCCTACAAGAAACACCAAATGAAAAATAGAATGGCAAAGCACAGTCTTACATGGCTAGTATCAAAAGAAAGAAAGAAAGAAAGAAAGANTATATTAATACCATTAAGAAACACTAGGCTGTAAATTAGAATGGAAACTTGAGAAAAGATGCCAAAAACTTCTCAGCATGGTGATGTCCATGAAATCTCAAAAATCTATTCTCTGCTTAATGATACTAAATTATATTTGGGTTGGCGGAAATACCATCCCAAGGAAACATAAACTGAGTTTTGAAATATACACCAACAATAATAGAAAAAGAAAGGGAGAGAGAAGGAGAGAATGAAAGGAAGGCGGGTAAAAAAAGAAAGAGCTAAGGAGAGGAAGAAGGAAGGGAGAGAAAGAGAAAGAGAGAGGGTAGGAAGGGGAAGAGGAAAAGTAGGAGTAGGAGAAAGGGAAGGGAAGAAGGAAGGGGAAGGAGAGGAGGAAGGAAGGAAGTAGAGAAGGGAAGGAAAAAAGAAAGGGAAAACAAATTGGTGTTACAAAAGAAGGAAGGGATGGTAAATAAAGCAACCCAAACTGTGTGTTATATCCTATTAAATGAAATAATAAATGTATAAGAATGATAAATGTAAAGAAGAATTACAATCATGTGAATGTATACTTAAAGTATACATTAGAAGAGAATAAAAAAATAAAAAATTCTTTGAGAGAAAAATCTATTCTCTGCTTCCCGAGTCCCAGCTGATCGGGAGGGGATGGGGATTTAAAACTACTTCATTAGACTAAGGTTAGGGCAGAAATTAAACAGGCTGCATACTTCTAATAATGAATCTATATATTGCCAAGGTTCTTTGACTTTACAGTCCTATAGCTGCCTGCTGTACTGTAGAAACATTGTCTGCTTGGGTTCCTGCTTGAACTGGAAAAGGAACAGCAGAGCCCAGTGTGAATTGTAATAGGGGGTGGTGTTTTTTTTTTTTAATGTGGCTCTCTTTTGGGTTGCTCAGGACCACAGACACGCACACATGCAATGTGTGAATACCTGCTCTAATGCATAACCTTGATGTCAGAAAGTGTTTTAGTTTGGAAGCTGGTTTCTTGTACTACAATTTATGTACTTGTATCAAATGCTTATCACCAGACCTTACCTAAAATATATTGCTTTCAATGTGACAAAGTTACATAAGAAGAGAGAATCCCCTTGCACTTAAAAGAAAAATGCAATTATTTTCTATTCTGAATCTCCAGACTGCTGTTTTAGAAAATCGTATCTGATTATTTGCTCAGCAGAAGATTATTGCGTTGATTTAGCTATGATTTTACTTAACAAAGCTTCCACTGAATTTCCCACTGTGTAGTCCCAAAAAGGTAGAGAGATATAAATGATACATTCAGACTGTGATTTTGGTGAACAGGGCCATCGATGCACCCCTCAGAGCTAATAGCGGAGATGAGAAACAGTGGGTTTGCGCTGAAACAAAATGTACTGGGGAGAAACTTGACCGCAAATGATCCATCCCAGGTAATGATCTTTTTATCAGTAAGCTGAAAATGTGTGTAAATCTAAATGTGATCGGTTGTGAATTGTTGCTTAATGTTTTTGTAATATGCATAACCGTAGGAACGCCAGATAGGTAGAGAAAGCTCTGTGTCTCTTAAAATACCGTCTTCTTTTCCTCTTCTTTTCTTCTTTTTTTTGTTAGCTGGAATAATAGTCTAGAATTTGTTCAATCCATAGTTTAATAAATGAAAAGCCTCCTGCAGGTTAGTAGAGATTATCTACTAGAGGAAATGGCTTTGACTTTTCTTTACTTGCTTATGATGGCAGCTGTTTTATCTAATTCTATCCCTGGGTGGAAAAATAATGACAGTGCCGACCAGGGGATGCCATAGTTTGGAGGTGCAATTCTGAATACTGCCCTGTGTGTTGCTGGAGATTGTATCATTTCTCTCTGCATGGCTACCAGAAGGGAAGCTTGACAAATGTAGGGTAAACCCTTGCTTATCAGAGATGGGGATATGTCACCAGGGCCGGAGTTGTGCTGCTATTTCTTTTGTTGCTGTCCTGCTTCTTGGATTTTACCTCACTACAGTAGAGTTAAACCACCTTCAGACGTCGGACAGAAGAACATGATGCCATGCTTACCGACTAGAGACCTTTCTCAGCAAAAGGAGCATCTTAATAGCAGATTAATTGGGACGCAGTGGCTCAGTGGCTAAGACGCTGAGCTTGTTGATCAGAAAGTTTGGCGGTTCGAATCCCTAGCACCACATAACGGAGTGAGCTCCCGTTACTAGTCCCAGCTTCTGCTAACCTAGCAGTTCAAAAGTATGT